AAACCCATCATTTCCTTGAAAAATATGAAAAGAGACCAGTGGTCAAAAAACGTCTAATTTTTCAAAGTTCAAAAATCAATTTTGAAACATTGAACTTTTTAAGAACGTCATTGGAACATAGAACGTTTTGTGACCACTGGGTAGTGAAGCAGAAGGATGTTTCACAAAGAATGTTTATTATTCAGATAACTTCAAAAATACATAAATACCTCAAAAAAAGAGGAATACAGTTAAGAATGTTTTATAAACAAAAGAAACCTAATCTATTAAAGATTATTTATTTGCATTGGAGATTTTTTTAAAAGAGAAGATAAAGAATTTTTTTTATTCAAATTATATTAAATATATTAATTTAAATTATTTCATTTTTTTTTTATTATTAAAAAATTTTCTTTCTAAACGAACAAATTTAATGAAACACCGAGAAACAATTGTCCTTTATATAATTTGCTGCGCAAGTTCTGATTAATTCCATTGTCTTGAGGTTCCTGGGGAATATGAAATTAGAGGTGGCGAAAAAAGGAATCGATGAGGCGAAGGTTGAAATTCTCTCTCTCTCTCTCTCTCTCTCTATGCTTCCAATTACTGTGGAGTCGAATCGATTTCCTCTATCTTCACAAAATAATACATTGCACGTGACTAACCTTCGACCAATTCTGCATAGATTGTCTCGAATTTTCCACGAAGAAAACGAGGTCAATGGACCTTTTTTTCCAAACTATTTTTTCTTTCTTTCTTTTTTTTTACTATATCTTGTGCCCTCTGATCTCTCCTGGGTCATAATTAACTCTCTATCCCCTTGCACTTTGTAGTCTGCAGCTATCCTAATGAAATTTAAAGACCGACTTAAGAATTCTAGTCACAAGCTGAGAAAATGATCATTTTCTTAAAGGGAAATTATTCCGTCGCTGCTCTTTCAATTTTGATGGACTCGACGAATTCTTGTAAAAGAGGACTAATATAAATATTTAAATTATTTTTTTTTTTTTCAATAAAGAATGTTTATTATTCAGATAACTTCAAATATACACCAATCCCTTGAAAAAAGGAAGAATTTTGCAAAATCAAAATTAACCTAATCCAAACCTTGATTTTTTATGAAGGAGATAAATTATTTTTTTTTTCAATTTTTGACTAAAATTATCTCAATTTAGAATTAAAAAATTTTTTTTTTATCTGTATCAGAAAATATAGTTCTTATATTTCAAATTCGTGTGATTGATATTTCAATTGATTAAAATCCTACAGAGGTCTGCACTAATCAGTAGAAAGCGTTTTATTACCGACACTGTCGATAAAGATGAAATCTGACAGATCTTCATGTTACCGACAATTTAATTTTCCTAAATAAAATATTAAATTAAAAATAAAATTTTTTTTTTCCATTTTTCAAAATTTGAAAAAAATATTTTTATCAAAATTTAAATGTTTATAGTTCCCCCTTAAATATATATATATATATATATACATTGCTGTCTCTTTTTTTTCGAATATGTTCTGATTCCTCAATTTTATAAATATATATCTATAGATATTTTCGATTTAAAATTGAAGGAAAAGGATTTCAGCAAAAATTGGCAACACCGAATGACTATATGGCCACCTGGGTCTTTCGGCCAAGTACAGTTTTCTGGAGATTCACTGCCAAAACCGGCAACTATGACCGCCCACCACGAATTCTCTTGTGGGGGCGTACATCGTGCGCAGCATATTTCTCTCGACTAGTTCATGACTACGTGACGAGATTTAAGGGCAAAACGTTCAAGTTTCCACGATTGCCAAGTGCCAACCACTTCCATCCAATTTGGAAGATCTTCTCTTTGCCCCTTCTTCTTCTTCCTCTTCATCTTCTTCTTCTTCATCTTCTTGAGCCACCGAAAAACGAGATATTACGCTACTGCGGTAACCGGATACGTCTAACCAAAAATTGCTTCAAAAATAAGAAATATTTCCTTAATATCGGGGAAAATCGATTCGAAATAGTCAACTTTGCATTTTAAAAAAAGGACGAGGTAAAACTTGAATTGCCAAAGAAGGTAGAAAATTGCTTATTTTAGGAATCATCAAAGTTGGTTTTTTAACGGTTTTTTTGGATTTTTTTAAAAGATATTCCGTAATAATTTTAAGCTTTTTTTTAAAAATCGGTATTTTTTTGAGTTGAAAAAGTGTTACTCATAGCAATGATCATAATTGCCAAGTTTCATAATGATCCGTCAATTTTTTCAACAGTTATAAACGTTTTTTTGGATTTTGTTTTGGGGTTATTCCGTAACAATTTTACACTGTTCTTTTTAAAAATGTATATTTTCATCTTTTCAAAGAGTGTCATTCTATTCAACAATCATAATTAGCAAATTTCAAAACGATTTAGTAATTTTTTTTAAAAGTTATAACTGTTTTTTTTTTTTGGATTTATTTGAGGTTATTCCATAATAATTTTACACTTTTTTTTATTAAATTCGTATTTTTTCCTTTAAAAATGTATCACTTATAGCAAAGATAATAATTACCAAGTTTCATAACGATCCGTTAATTTATTTAAAAGTTATAACTGTTTTTTTGAATTTTTTTTTTTTGGGTGATTCCGTAATGATTTTAGGATTATTTTCTAAATTTGTATTCTTTTGTCTTTAAAGGGTTTCATTCATAGTAAAGAACATAATTACCAAGTTTCATAAAGATCTTTTTATATAATTAAAAATTATAACTGTTTTTTGAATTTTTTTTGAGGTTATTCCGTAACAATTTTACATTTTTTTTCCTAAATTTGTATTTTTTTTACTTTTTAATGGTGTCATTTATAGCATGGAACATAATTACCACGGTTAAATAACGATTCGTTAATTTGTTTAGAAGTTAGAATAGTTTTTTGGTTTTTTTTGGGGTCATTGCGTAATAATTTTTGGCTTTTTTCCTAAATTTGTATTTTTTCGCCTTAAAAGAAAGTTATTCATCGCAAAAAATTTAATTATCAAGTATCAAAATATTACGTTAATTATTTTAGAAGTTATAACCATTTTTTTTTTTTTTATTATTTTTTTGGGGGTCATTCCATATTAATTTTATGCTTTTTTCCTGAATTTATTTCTTTTGCCTTTAAATAACGTCATTTATAGCAAACAACATAATTACCAAGTTTTATAACAATTCGCTAATTTGTTTAGGATTTATCACAATTTTTTGAAATTTTTTGGGGTGATTCCGTAACAATTTTACGCTTATCTTTCTAAATTTGTATTTTTCTGCCTTTAAAGGGTGTCATTCATAGCAAAGAATATAATTATCAAGTTTCAAAACAATCCGTTAATTAGTTTTAAAGTTATAACCGTTTTTTGAATTTTTTCGAGGTTATTCCGTAATAATTGTTCGCTATTTTTTTCATAATTTGTATCTTTCCGGAAGGAAAATATATTAAATATTCTCAGAAACATAATTTCCAAGTTTCATAAAGCTCCGTCCATTTGATTAAAAGTTATAATCGTTTTTTTTTGTGGATTTTTTGGGGTCATTCCATAAAAAATTTACGCTTTCTTTCCTAAATTTGTGTTTTTTCGCTTTTAAAGATTGTTACTTTCTGCAAAGAACATAATTACCAAATTTTTATAAAGATTCTTTAATTTCTTTAGAAGTTATAACCGTTTTTAAAATATTTTTCGGGTAATTCTGTAACAATTTTACTCTTTTTTCTAAATTTGTATCTTTTTGAAATTAAAAAAAAATATCATTTATTGTAAAGAACATAAATACTAAGTTTTATAACGATTAAATAATTTCCATAGAAGTTATAACCGTTTTTTGAATATTTTTTTTGGGTCATTCCGTAATAAATTTACGCTTTTTATCTTAAATTTGTATTTTTTCGAATTTAAAAGATGTTATTCATAGCAAAGAACATAATTGTCAAGTTTCATGAAGATCTGTTAATTTCTTTAGAAGTTATAACCGATTTTTGGATTTTTTTGGGGTCATTTCGTAATAATTTGACTTTTTTTTCCAAAATTTGTATTTTTTTGTCTTTAAAAGGTGTAACTCATAGCAAAGATCATAATTTTTTAAGTTTCAGAACGATTTGTTAATTTGTTTAGAAGTTATAAGTGTTTTTTGGATTTTTTTTGGGGTCATTCCGTAATAATTTTTGGCTGTTTTCCTAAATTTGTATTTTTTCACTTTTAATGAATGTTATTCATCGCAAAGAACATAATTACCAAGTTTTATAACGGTCCATTAACTTCTTTAGAAGTTATAATCGTTTTTTGGATTTTTTTGGGGTTATTCCGTAATAATGTTACGGTTTTTTTCCTGAATTTGTATTTTTTTCGCCCTTCAATAATTTTATTTAATGCAAACTACATAATTACCAAGTTGTATAACGATTTATTAATTTCTGTAGAACTTATAAACGTTTTTTTTTTATTTTTTTTGGGTCATTCCGTAATAATTTTTGGATTTTTTTTCAAAATTTGTATTTTTTCTGTTTTAAAGTATATTATTCGTTGCAAAGAACATATAATTATTAATTTTCATAAGGATTCGTTAATTCTTTGAAAAGTTATAAACGTTTTTTTGGATTTTTTTGGAGTCATTTTGTAATAATTTTACGCTTTTTCTCCTAAATTTCTTTTTTTTTCGCTTATAAATGGTGTTATTCATAGAAAAGAACATAATTACCAAATTTTTTAAGAATTCGTTAATTTCTTTAGAAGTTATAACCGATTTTTGGATTTTTTTTGGGGTCATTCCGTAATAAATTTACGTTTTTTATCTTAAATTTGTATTTTTTCGAATTTAAAAGATATTATTCCATAGCAAAGAACATAATTGTGAGGTTTCATAAAGATCTGTTAATTTGTTTAGAAGTTATAATCGTTTTTTGTTTTTTTTTTTTTTTTTTTGGGTCATTCCGTCATAATTACAAGCTATTTTCCCTTAATTTCTATTTTTCTGTAATAAAATACTGTCACTCATTGCATAAAGAATATAATAAAAAATTATAATTTTACCTCCAAGTTAAATTTGGTGAATGCCACTTTTGTCCATGTACAGTAAATCTCTTATGTCGTCGCCTCATGTGAGCGTACCTCGGATCTGGTTTATCCGGTAAGCCACATCTTTTTGATGACATCTTTTTTTCTGTTTCTTTGTCAATTACCCCAGTAACAGGAATTCCAGCAAAACTCTTTAAAAAATAGAAAAAAAAATTTTAATTTTCAAAAAAATTTATCAATAAATAAAAATATTTATTTATAATTACTTTTTTTTTGTATATAAATTTAAATTTAGAAATCTTTTATTGAATAATAAATCTATACACGTAAATATAACAAAAAAAAATTTGCATACTTAAATTTTGTTACAAAAATCTGATATGGATCTATATATATATACGACACATATTTCGTTCCAACTGATGAACTCGATTTTCATGTAAATTTAATCATGAAGAACGTCGTATATAAGGTTCCAATTCAATTTCATTTAATCTCTATAGTATAAATATAAATCCTCCTAAGTAACTATAGAATTTATGATTCATGTCTAAAGATTGGACATTCAACAATATTGAATAGTCTGCCTTTTGTAAATTTTGTCAAAAAAAAAAAAAAAAAATTCTTAAGATTTTTTATTCTCTTTTTTAATGACAATGTAAGTAGTATTATGATAAAATAATAATAATTATTATTATTATTATTTACACTCTAAAAAAAATTTTAATTCAAGCCTAATTTTTAACGCAAAATACATATGGTCTTAATTTTAAGTGTATAAGTAAAAATAATTATTAAGAATTTTTATAGTAAAATATGTGACACTCCACGAGGGAAGGGACTTTTCGTTAAAAAAAAAAAAAAAAATTAAGGTAACATAACCTAAAATTTTATTTTATTTAAGGTCCCTTCTCTGTAGTGTCACATATTATAATTATTTGATGTAGAGTAAATGCACTAATTACGGCGCGATTCGAGTAAAAACACCTTTGAAATATAGAAAAATTCAACATTTCTATTGACAATTTAAGATTTATTAAACTAAAAGCTAATGTTATTTAGATATTAAAAAAATTAAAACTTAAAAATTAGTTATTTAAAAAAATATGAAAAATTAAAACTACCGTAATTTTCAATTACGGTGAGTTTGTATCAATTACGGTGGTCAAAATTACGTCTATTTTGAAGATACTTTGCCCACCGTAATTAAAGCCAATGGAAAAACTTAAAAATGTTTTAATTACGGCGAGGGAAAAAATTTAATCTCAAATAATTAAATTAATTATTTAATTAATAAATATGCATCTTTATTAGTAATTGTATCAACAAAAAAAAGGTTAAAATATTTTTTTTTTTTAATAATTTTTTGCAGTAGTTATATTAAATGTAATAGTAATAATAGTTATTTTTTAGGCATTCGCCGTAATTGGTGCACTTACCCTAGTAAAAACTTTTTTTTTTTACAAAATTTTTTTTAAATTAAAAATTAGTTTAAATTTAATAATAGAAAAAATTATACAATAATAATAATTATAATATATATATATATACCTGAAAGTCCTTAATGGCATTTCGGAGTTGTTCGTCAGTTCTCAAATTTCCGGTTTCTAGATCACTTTGAGGCAAGTACCCAAATTTCATCAGATAGTTTTGCTGTAAACAGTAAAGAGGAAATTTGATTTTGCAAAATTCAATTACATTTCGAAAATAATACATATATATATATATATATATATATATTAAATAAAGAAAATTTTCAATTCAAAATTTTTTTGTTTATATATAAAAAATGTTTAAAAAAAAAAAAAAAAAAAAATTAAATGCGCACTGTTTTTCCTTTAATGAAAATTCATATAGAGATAAAATTCATTTTCGAGGATAATTATTTCTTGCGTCAAGCGTAATTTTTCATTTCGAAACAATAAATCAAACTGATTGCTTTTCTAATGAAAAAAAAGCTCCAATTTCATTTAATTTTTTTATTCTACTCTATAAAAGTATTTTATTAGATTAAATAAAATGTTACAAAAACAATTTTTTTTCTATATGAAACTATGGCACCTAGTTATCAGCCCCAAGTTAATTTTGAAAAAAATTTATGTTAGCAATAACATAAATAAAGTTAATTTTTTTTTAACTTTTTTAATTAACTTGAGACTGATAACTTGGTGGCAGTTTTAGTTTCATTTTTGTTATTTGTAATTATAATTAAATATTAGTATTATTATTATTATTATTATTATTATTATTATTATTATTATTATTATTATTATTATTATTATTATTATTATTATTATTATTGTTATTATTATTATTATTATTATTATTATTATTATTATTATTATTATTATTATTATTATTATTATTATTATTATTATTATTATTGTTATTATTGTTATTATTATTATTATTATTATTATTATTGTTATTATTATTTTTATTATTATTTTTTAAATTACATTATTTTATTTATTTATTAGAATTTATGTCTTCTATTTGTTTTTTTGGATTTAAAAATTTTTTTTTTTTTTTAACAGCCGGAAGTATTGTAAGGGGTCAAAATTCTCTTCAAAGTTTTTTCCGGGAAAAATCAATGGGATTTCGCAGTAAAACACATGGTAACAATTTTGTCACGTGCAAGCAACATTAGTTGCGCTCAGACTCAATCCCCTGCTTCTAGCTCTTAAAATGTTTCTAAATGCAGAATACATTATACATACTCACACATAAACACGCATTATACATGTCGAATTACATTGTAAAATTTACATAAGTACTTTTCTTGCAATTCGCGCTTGGACGCCTCGAAGAAAACTCAAAAAAACATGACAACTAATGAAAAAAATTTTATCAGAATTTTTTTTTCTTTTTTAAAAAACATCACAAACAAAAGAAATCATTTTTAAAAAATTAAAAAATATATATATATATATAAACTTTTTTTTGTGTAAATATTTTGCCGAAATGAAATATGAATGTGTTGATTTAAAAGAAAATAATTTTTAAGTAACAAAATATTAAGCTTTTATTGATTTTTGATATTAAATAATTTTTACGTGAGAAAATTTTGGGTATTTAAAAATTAACTAATCAGAAATTACAAGGGAAAATTTGAATTTTTTTTTTTGCCTTTAAATTGTGTTATTCAGAGCAAAGAACATAATTACCAAATTTCATAAAGATCTGTTAATTTGTTTAGAAGTTATAACTGTTTTTTTTGGATTTTTTTTTTTTTTTTTTGTCACTCCGTAATGATTTTAGAATTATTTTCTAAATTTGTATTTTTTTGCCTTAAAAGGATGTCATTCATAGCAAAGAATATAATTACCAAGTTTCAAAATAATCCGTTAATTAATTTAGAAGTTATAACCGTTTTTTGAATTTTTTTTTTTGGGTTATTCCGTAACAATTTTACATTTTTTTTCCTGAATTTGTATTTTTTTCACCTTTTAATGGTGTTATTTATAGCATGGAACATAATTACCACGGTTAAATATAACGATTCGTTAATTTGTTTGGAAGTTATAATAGTTTTTTGGTTTTTTTTTGGTCATTCCGTAATAATTTTTGGCTTTTTTCCTAAATTTGTATTTTTTTTGTCTTTAAAGAATGTTTTTCATTGCAAAAAATTTAATTATCAAGTTTCAAAATATTTCGTTAATTATTTTAGAAGTTATAACTATTTTTTTGGATTTTTTTTTTTTGGGTCATTCCATATTAATTTTATGCTTTTTTTCTGAATTTGTTTCTTTTGCCTTTAAATAATGTCATTTATAGCAAACTCCATATTTACCAAATTTCATAACAATTGGTTAATTTGTTTAGAAATTATAACTGTTTTTTGGATTTTTTGGAGGGGTTATTCCGTAATAATTTATCATAAATTATTTTTACTTAACAAATTTTTTAGTTAACGATTTTTTGTCCGAATTTTCGTTTTATTTATTTTCTTTACATGACTTTTTATTTAAAAGAATTTTAATTTAACAGAATTCTCATTCAATCGAATTATATCTGATTCGAATTTTTAAATAACAGAAATTACGATTCACCGAATTTTAAATTTGTCCGAATTTTCAATTGTACGAATTTTTTAAGACACCGAATTTTTATTTGTCCGAAATTACAAATGGGCCAAACAAACAATCGACAAAAAGATATTTGGCGCTAGTTTCAAAAATTGAACAATTAGAAATTATTGAGAAAATCGTGATTGGTCAATTTTTGAAACTAGCGCCAAAATCTTTTAGTCGATTGTTTGTTCCGGTAATTTGTAATTTCGGACAAATAAAAATACGGCGTCTCAAAAATTTATTAATTCGAAAAATTAAAATTCGTCTTAAAAAAAAATTGCATTTTTTTCTCTTTTAAACGGTGTTATTCATAGCAAAGAACATAATTGCCAAGTTTCATAACTATCCGTTAATTTGTTTAGAAGTTATAATCGTTTTTTGACTTTTTTTTGGGGTCATTCCGTAATAATTTTACGGTTTTTTTTCTAAATTTCTATTTTTCGGCTATTAAAAAGTATCATATTGAATATAATTACAACTAATTACAAAGTTTCATGATGATTTGTCAATTTGTTTAGAAATAATAAGTTTTTTGGATTTTTTTTTTGGGTCATTTCGTAATAATTATATACGCTTTTTTCCTTAATTTTTATTTTTTCGATTTTAAAGGGTGACATTTATAGTAACTAATATAATTACCAATTTTTATGACGATCCAGTTATTTTTTCAGAAGTTATAACTGTTTTAAAAAATTTTTTTTTTGGTGTCATTCAGTCATAATTTTACAAGTTTTTCTGAAATTTTTATTTTTTCGCCTTTAGAAAGTGTCGTTTATAGCAAAGAACATAATTACCAAGTTTCATAACGATTCGTTCATTTGTTTTGGAAGTTATAAGCGTTTTTTGGATTTTTTTGGGGTCATTCCGTACTGATAAATCGCTTTTTTTCCTAAATTTGTATTTTTTTGACATTAAAAAGTGAAATTCATAGCAAAAAACACAATTACCAAGTTTCATAACTATCCGTTAATTTGTTTAGAAGTTATAATGGTTTTTTGTTTTTTTTTTTGGGTCATTCCGTAATAATTTTTGGCTTTTTTCCTAAATTTGTATTTTTTTGACATTAAAGAGTGAAATTCATAGCAAAAAACACAATTACCAAGTTTCAAAACTATCCGCTAATTTGTTTAGAAGTTATAACTGTTTTTTGGATTTTTTTGGGGTCATTCCGTAATAATTTTTGGATTTTTTTTCCTAAATTTGTATTTTTTTGTCTTTAAAGAATGTTTTTCATCACAAACAATATAATTACTAAGTTTCAAAATGATCCGTTAATTAGTTTAGAAGTTATAACTGTTTTTTGGATTTTTTTTTTGGGTCATTCCGTAATAAATTTCCGCTTTCTTTTCTAAATTTGTAATTTTTTGATTTTTAAGGATTGTATTCATTGTAAAGTACATAATTACCAAGTTCTATAACGATCTGGTAATTCCATTAGAAGTTATAATCGTTTTTTGAATTTTTTTCGGGTCATTCCGTAGTAATTTTACGCTTTTTTTTCTAAATTTGTGTTTTTTTGTCTTTAAAGAGAATTAGTCTTAGCAAAGAACATAATTAGCAAGTTTCATAACAATCTAATAATTTGTTTAGAAGTTATAACCGTTTTTTGAATTTTTTTTTTATGGTCATTCCGTAATAAATTTACTCTTTTTATCTTAAATTTGTATTTTTTCGAATTTAAAAGATGTTATTCATAGCAAAGAACATAATTTGTCAAGTTTCATAAAGATCTGTTAATTTCTTTAGAAGTTATAATCGGTTTTTGGATTTTTTTGGGGTCATTCCGTAATAATTTGACTTTTTTTCCAAAATTTGTATTTTTTTGTCTTTAAAAGGTGTAACTCATAGCAAAGATCATAATATTTTAAGTTTTAGAACGATTTGTTAATTTGTTTAAAAGTTATAAGTGTTTTTTGGATTTTTTTGGGGTTATTCCGTTATAATTTTTGGCTTTTTTCCTAAATTTGTATTTTTTTGTCTTTAAAAAATGTTTTTCATCACAAACAATATAATTACTAAGTTTCAAAATGATCCGTTAATTAGTTTAGAAGTTATAACTGTTTTTTGGATTTTTTTTTTGGGGTCATTCCGTAATAATTTTACGCTTTTTTTTCTGAATGTGTATTTTTTGGTTTTAAAGGTTGTCAATCATAGCAAAGAACACAATTACCAAGTTTCATAACAATCTGTTAATTCGTTAGGAAATTATAATCGTTTTTTGATTTTTTTTTTTTGGGTCATTCCATAACAATTATACGCTTTTTTTTAAATTCATATTTTTCTGTAAATAAAGAATATGAGTCATTGTAAAGAACATAATTAAAAAAAAAAACAAAAACAAATGTCAATTCATGAATTAAATATATATAGATTTGTAAAATTTACAATTTCATGTCTCGTTGATCGATAGCATATAATGAGTGTCTGATGACTTTCATTGGTTGCGGTTGGATTGTTAGCAATGTAAATGACGATGATATCAAATGATAATGTCAAGTTGAAAACAAACGAGGCGACCTGGTTCTCCTACTTCCGGAAACATTATCTCTTCGTTTCCTACCGTTTTCGCGCTGTATAGCT